CCGACGGCAGTGACCTGGGCGACCTTACGGCCGACGACATCGGGGAGCTCAAGGGCCTTGTCAAGGGCAAGCCCAAGTTCCGGAGGCTCTTGGACAAGGTCGAGATGCGCGCCAGCAAGAGAGCCAGAAGGGGGGCTGCAGCTACTACGTATCCGCCGACCCCAGGGGCACCACAGGTTTTTGGCCCTGGGGGACCGCAGCAAGCCGCTGACGTTCAACATGCAGCCAAGGGCGCAGCTGATGCCGCCATTAGCCAGCCAGCTGCAGCCCCTCTTGCGCCTCCCTCTCCCGCGACGCCTGGGTAGCATCAAGATCTACCTGGCCAATATCACTACCTGGGGGAGGAAAGCAGAGGATTTCTTTCTCGAGAAGCCCCACGATTTTGACCTCTTTATTGTTAATGAAGTTCGTACGGCAGGACCCGACCTGCCCGCGATTCGCAAGAAGTTGAAGAAACGTTCCTGGAAAACGTATGTATGCCCTGCGCTTCCTTCTCCTGGGGGTGGTGCTCACGGGGGAGTGTTGATTGGTGTGCAGGCGCAGTTGCACACACACACGCCAGATTCATGGGAGCCCGAGGACGACCTGTTCCAGTGGTCTCGGGCTCGCAATGTACCAGTTGTATTCTACGTCTCCAGGGGATTGATAGCCTTATCTTGGGGGCCTACCTCTGGGACTCCATCGGGTACAATGGCAAACATCGGGATATCGTATGTGAAATATTTACCTTCACCAGGCAGATGAATATGCCGTTCGTCCTTGGAGGGGGCTTCAACATGCCACCAGCTGCTATTCAGGACACTGGGCTCTTGCAGAGTTTCAATGCTGCGGTGGCGCGTGCCGATGTACCAGATACTAACAGGGATGGGGAATCGACTATCGACTATTTCATTATCCATAAGCATATCTGGCCTGACGTTGAAATCTCAGGAAAGCTCGAAGGGCCATGGGCGCCCCATGTTGCTATTCAATTGGAGCTGTCCAGGGCTGCCCTGACCAGGAAGGTTTGGGCATTGGGCCACTCGGCCCCTCTCCCTCGGCCCGTGGGACCAGCTCGGGAATGGAACTACTACCTTGCTAAAGCTACGTACCAACTGGGATGGATTCCCCACCCGCAGTATCCTGTGAATATTTCCCATCATCATCAGGCCCTGTCTGACATGCGTGGCCAGTCATGTCGGGGAGTGGAGCTCCAGGAAAAGGACATCGCAGTTGACGACACGGAAGGCCACTTGGGCGCGCGCCCTACTTTTGGCTGGCGCGACCTCCTGCAGGCCACACCCAAGCGCGGCAAGGCGGGATCGCTAGCTCATCAATGGGCCACCATTGGCATGATGCTTCAGGAGAGGGACAGGACACCCACCAAGAAAGCCCCCAGGCCTAGATGGGCCCACCTTGCTCGGCTTCAGGACATTATATCCAGGATCCGCCAGAGGCTTCCAGAACCCGATCTGGCTCCTGAAGATGCCCGAGTCTTATCTGCTGCCCTAGAACGGCGGGGGCATGGCGACGACAGCGTGCCGGCTAACGCCCTCGCCATCCTTGATCGCACCCAGCATAACTACCATTTGGAGGAACTCAAGCTGTCGAGGGACGGCTTCAACCAGTTTCTCTTGGATTCTCTGAGGAAGGGGGGGGAGCTGCCCATGCCATTACCAAGGCCCCGTCGGACCTCCCAGGGCCCCACGACACCTACGTGGGCCCACTAGGCAATGCGGTCACCGATCCCTTCGAGGTCATGAACCACAAGCTGGAATCCTGGATGACTAAATGGGGCCCCAAAGGGTGCAATCATGTGGGCCCTGCGGGGCCAATCTGGATGGCCCAGATTCGGAAGGAAGCTATGCAATCCTGGGGTTGGGATTATTTCCCTTGGGACATCAAGTGGGGCCGTTGAAGTTGCCTCCTGGTATTCTCCGTCGGCTGCCCCAGGAGGGGATGGCTGGCGCGTCAGGGATTTCTTGCTCTTGCCAGGTGAAGCGAGACCCATGCTGGTGGCACTCGTTAATGACATTTGTTTTTACCAGCAGCTCCCTATCCAGGCGTTGCTCAACTGTATCTTCCTTCAGCCCAAGAGTGAGGAGAGTGACAGGCCCCTCACGTTGACGTCGGGGCTGCACGGGCTCGTCACTGTGCTTTTTCGATCTGATCTGTCTGAATGGGACAGTGCGAAGGCTTGGTTCTGGGACCAAGCCCTCCGAGGACACGACCCCTCACGTGCTGCAGTTTTGTCTGAGATGTCTGCCGAGATTGTCAGCTCCACTGGGATCCCGATGACCGAGGCCCTCCTGGACATCGAAAAGTTGTTCGACACTATTTCTCTTGAAGTTGCTGCCAATACTGCGGTTTCCCTGAACTACCCGAAACCGCTCCTGTCCCTGACCCTTATGGTTCACAAGGCCGCCAGAGTTTTGAAGTCTGACCTAGGGTCCTCCAGGTTCGCCGCCCCGCGCAAATCTATCCTTCAAGGGCGCGGGCAGAGCCGCTCGCTTGCCAGGGCTTTTCTTTACAACATGCTGCATGATTTCCACCATCGTTTCAAGAGGATGCCGTTCCGCACCTGGGTGGATGACTTGAGGGTGCGCACGCGGGCATCCGAGAAGGCCATTCGAGACCAGCTCCCGAAGGCCATCCTGTCACTTGCCCAGTGGCTTTGTCGGGCAGGCTGCGCGCTGTCGAACAAAAGTGCCATTATGGCTTCGAGCCCGACCCTGGCCCAAGAGGTTGCACAGGCCTCGGGGGGCCAAGGTATTGAGGTCCGCGTTAACTCGTCGGGGCGTGACCTTGGGTGTGACACCATTCTGGGGAAATTCCGGAGGCTTCGAGTTCGGCGTAGCCGACAACGTAAAGGCTTTGTCAGGCTGGCCAAGATTTGCAAACTGTCTAAGGGCAGGAAGTAATTGCGCGTCCTTGTCACGACGGGGGCCAAGCCGCAGCTCTTGCGGGGGTTTCAAGGGCGCGGAGTTAGTCCGACCCAGCTTCGACTCCCACGTAGCAAACTCTGCAGAGCCATGGGGCTCACCACGAGCTCTGGGTGCACCACGACCGCCAATGCTTTATCCCCCAAAGGGGCCCTGGATACCGATCCTGGGTACTATATACCGATTGGGTGTTCCCATATGTGGCTCGCTATCATTAACCAGGAACCCGATGTGCACCATGGGATATCCAGGACCTGGAAGCGAGCCTGGGACAAGTTAGCCCCCAAGGAAGGAAGATGGAACAACGTGGTCTCCCTTTTTTTCCACCGTCATTGCATATCTCCTAGACTTCGGCTGGACAGCTACGACAGCGTGGCTATGGACCAGTCCATCTCGGCGACTTTTTCATATTAGGCCAGGACCCCGATCCGAGCAAGAAGGTTTCACCCAGGAAATGGTTCGGACGATTCAAGATAGATATTGGGGGCAGGCGTCTCAATATTACTGTGGATCAGGATCTGGCAGCTCTACCGACAGCTGCCAGTTTCAATCCATCCCCCGGGCCTGGACGCGAGGGGAAGATGATGAATCTTTCCTGGTGCCAGCCGCCGCAGCTGTTGCCAAGGGCATAGTCTGGCATGGGCAGCGCAGATATGTTGCAGGTATGAAAGGGGGAACAAGACAGCTTCGCATGCTGGAGGTGCGGGGGGGCGATGGAGAACGCGCTTCATTGCTACTGGACATGCCCATGCCTCCCAGAGCTTGCCCGTTTCCACCCCCCCATCGCCGAATCGCAGCACCTTTCGCAGCGAGCTACGGTGGAGGCGGCACCCAGTGCCACCAAGTGGCTACGAGGCCTACAGCCGCAGCGCGATAAAGATGGAGCTGCTGCTAATTTCCATGGTGCCGAGGACCCCCAAGGGACTGGAGTTTTGAGGGTGCCCTGGACCTTTTCGTTTTCTGACTGGCGCCTGGTTGGGATTGATGCGTCAGGAGGAGAGTTCACTGGGGATCCGAGGCTTAGGAAGGTTGGATGGGGCCTCGCGCTGTTCGATCAGGACATGCGCGCGATCGGCACGATCTTTGGCCCAGTCCCAGGCAAGCAGACTATCAGTCGTGGTGAGCCCATGGCCGCCATTACTGCGCTGAGACTACGGGGGCCCATCCACCTAGTTACCGACAGTATGTATCTTCTTCGAGGGTTCAGACAAGGGGCCCCATGGAGACACAGGCTCAATACTGATCTTTGGAATGTTTTCTGGAAAGTGGTTTCGAAGCGACATCATCCCTTTACCCTAGATAAAGTTAAGGCCCATGCATCTCTGGAAGATCTCGAGAGTGGAGTGGTCTACCCAGTCTACTATTTCGTCAATCGCGCCGCCGACGCAGTTGCGAGGAGAGCAGCTGACTTCTTTGAACTACCCGAGGAGATCCTCGAGCACGTTCAACAACGGGACCGTGACATGAACCTAATAGTTAAGCGCCTTGCTGTTACTCAGTTTCTTGCCTGGACCCACGGGCCCAAACCCGGGGCCTTCAAGTCCCTTAGGGACGCTTTGGTCCGTCGGCTTCGGGGGGCTCAGCTGAGCCCGCACTCCATCGAACAGCGTGGTGATCGAATCCAGTGTGTGCGGTGTGCTCGGGTTGGGGTCTTTGGGAAAGCTCGCTGGGTTCACAAGCCCTGCTGCCCCCACCCTGGAGTGTTTTACACCCATGAGACGCACCGCCCTCACCTCCGCACGTACAGGGGGGTGACTTTCCTGTCTTAGATGTGGGGGGTGGTCGGCCCATCGGAGCAGGAAGCTCCGTGAGGAGTGCAAGCCAGCCACCCCCACTGGATGCAAGGCCATCCGCCGATTTCTATTTCGCCAGCTTCCCCAAGGGTTGCTGTCCTGGCCCTCTGGAGAGTTAGCAATGCTCCGAGAAGGAGCTGCCAGGCAATCAGGAGTCGGGACCTTACAGTAACCCCGACGCATGGGCCCGCAGCGCGCGCGGAGTCACCCTCCAAACTAGGAGCTGGAAAAGGAGGAGAAGGACAGAGGACAGGCCCCCGAACGACGATCCTGGCTGGAGCCCCAGGCGCGCCCAGACGGGCTCTACGTCCGCTTGAGCGGCGCGGGCGGCGAGGGGGCGCGGCCCTGCCCCTCGGACGAGTTCGCCCAGGTGCCCAGCGCGGAGGCCCGCGGAGGCGCCGCTGGATTGCGCTCGGGGGGGGGGGGCGGCGGGAGCGGCGATGGGGGACCTCCTCCTCCTCGTCCTCCTCCTCCTCCTCTCCTCCTCCTCTCCTCCTCCTCCTCCTCCTCCTCCTCCGCCTCCGCCTCCTCCTCCTCATCCGGCGTGGCGGGAGCGGCGAGGATCGGAGGTGGACAGGCCTCCTACCCTGACACGTCGACTAAAGGACTTGGCCGTGTTCGGTTCGCGGGAGGGCGTCGCGGCCGTCGCTTCTGCGGGTCCAGGGCCGTCGGTTTAGGTCCCAGGCCGTTTTCACGAAGGGGAGGTCTACTCAAGGGAGGTTTGTCCACCGCCGAGAGGAGGAGCGGCCGGGGGGGAGTGGCCGGGGGAAAAAGAGTCTGCACGAACGAAATGGGTACGGAAAGAATGGGTACAGTGCCCAACAGCGGATCTGGTTCGTTTTGGAAAGGGTTCGCTGTCCACGCCGCCGCGGCCTGCGTCCATTCGAGACAGAAGGCCGCCTGCCCAACAGCGGCCGCTGTTTGTTTGGGACAACATTTGTTGTTGGGCATTGTACCCATTCTTTCCGTACCCATGTCGGGCGTCCAGAGAAAGGTGCGGGGGCGGTTGGGAGGACGAGAGGGGGATCGGGGCGAAGCGCAGGAGGAGGAGGAGGAGCGAGGGAGGAGGAGCAGAGGAGGAGGAGGAGGAGGAGGAGGAGGAGGAGGAGGAGGAGGAGAAGGAGGAGGAGGAGGAGAGGAGGAGGTGGATAGCAGGAGGGGGGAGGAGACAGGAGAGGTGATGGTGAGGAGGAGGAGGAGGAGGAGGAGGAGGAGGAGGAGGAAGGAGGAGGAGCAGGCTCGAGTCGGTCTTGGGCTTAGCGGTGCTGGGAGGGCAGTGTGTTTGGCTTGAGCGTTTGTCACTCGTCCGTCTTTCCCTGGCCCAGGTCTTCAAACCGCAAGGAACTTTTCTGACATTGGGTTATGGCCCATTTGCGCTCGTCCTAGAACGCGGCCCAGGCGCAGTGGTCCGCCTGTCCGTGGATTGGTTGGATGCGATCGCCCATTTGGTTTGGACTGATGGCGAACCATCGAGCGACTCCCGAGAGAAGGTAGTAGCAGGTCTCAGAGAGGCATGACTCCGAACATGCGTTAACATTATGATGTATTCCTCCTCGCCGTTTTCCAAGTCCCTAAGGAGTTAGATAATTCGGACCACATGCGCGCGCTCGTTCCCGTGCAAGTTAAAGTCATTCAAAGACCATTGGGTGCATTAAGCATTTCAGTTCCGATCTCGTCAACCACATCCGAGTAATACATGTCCTTGCTTGAGCGGGTCATGCACCCTGTCAGATTTCTTGCGCGCGCTTGCCCATGCTCATCAACGCATTGTTCCAGATGCGCGCGAGAGTGCATCAACTTGCACAGCATTCTGAGGGGATTTGGCGAACGAGGTAATGAACTCCTAAACCAATTCATCGCTCACTTCCCTCACGCCCTCCGCCATTGAGGACGAGCTTTCATATTCGAAACCTTCCGTTGGATGATATCCTCAACAGTCGGACACGATATGCATGTTGCGGCGTTCTGGGCAAGGACCAATGTGACGCAATGAGTTTTCAGGGGACAGTGCTTCGTAATTGGGTCGGGCGGGTTGGATATGATCGTGTTCCGCCATTGCAGCGAACAGTTCTGTACATCCAAGACACATGCATGAACATAACTTGCCGGAGGTCCGCGCAGATTTCTTGGATCTGTGCTGGACTCCCCTCCCTTGCCTGCGGGGCACGCCAGGGGCGATGCCGGAAGCGCCAGCAGTGGGGCCCGGCGCCGATACAGGACATCCGCGCTGACTTCCGAACGTCTATGTTGATCTTATTCTCCCTGCGCTTCGGCCACGTTCGTAGGACAGCCTTGCGACGGACATGATAGTTGCCAGCACGCCTGGCGAGCCGAGTTGTGTATATAGTATCGGGGTCCGCTCCCGCCTTGTTCTCCTGCCAGAACAGTGATCTGATTCTCCCTTCCTCGAGTGCCGCTTCTGTCTGGTCCCTGTGCCAGCGCAGGCGCTCGGCTGCCCATCGCGATGGAGCGCTCGGCGCTGCAGGCTCGCCGGGGCTTCCCCCAGCCGTCACCTCTAGCGTGTTTCCAGACAGTCGTGCAACTTAGGGTTGAAGTTGTCATGCGGCTCCTCCTCCTCCTCCTCCACCTCCTCCACCTCCTCCTCCTCCTCCTATCCTCCTCCTCCTCCTCCTCCTCCTCCTCCTCATGGGCCTACCGTGTCAATTGCAAGTTCAAGGCGTTGAGGCAAGGATCATTCCGGGCCACGGGGGGAGTCTGGTTGGCTCAGTGCTCGGCGGTGCCCGGGAGGTCCGGCATCCGTGAGACCGACCGCCCTGGAGTTGGCCGGGGTCCGCCCAGAGTACGGTTCGTCCGGGGACCCCCAGGGGCTGTAACGCGCGCGCGAATTAGATCGGAAACTGGAACATATACATTACCAGTGGCGTTTTTTTTGTTGACCCAGCACTTTTTGAGGGTTGGGGGCGAAAGACGCTAGGGTGGTGTGGTGTATACTTTTTTCCCCGATGTCCCGCGGAAGCAACGAAAAATGTATACACCAGGGTTCCGTATGCACCAGAATCCGCGTTCCTGTGCGAATTTCAGCGCAGGGTCGGGAAAAGCGTCGGTGTATAGGGTCCGTTTCCCTAGTAGATCTACAGTTCACCAGCTACCGATTGTGTCAGCACGCCTCTGGCCCGTTGGGCCTGTGACTTTTGCACTCGCGGCCGCTCTTGTCCGCATGGGGGACGCCGCCGATCGAAGAGTTTCTCGAGAAGCGGTACTCGGACATTAGATGGGAGTCTCCCCAATAATTGCTCCGTCCTTTTCCTCATGAGCCCGGCCCTGCTGCCTCAAGTGACGGGAGGGGCGATCTGCCCTACTGACAGGAAACCTAAAGAACTCAGCGAGAGGGTGTATTTGTTGTATATATATATATATATATATATATATTTAAAACAAACGAACTGGGACAGCGACCTCTGGGCGGAGTCTGGCTTGGACTTCCAAGGCCATTATTTTCGTGGGCGGACAGACCTCCTACCCTGACACGTCGAATCAGGAATTGGCCGTTTTCGGTTCGCGAGAGGGCGTCGCGGCCGTCATTTTTGCGGGTCCAGGTCCGTCGGTTTCGGTCCCAGGCCGTTTTCACAAAGGGGGAGGTCTACTAAATGGACGTTTGTCCACCGCCGATATTTCGAAGAAGACAAAAGGGCATAAACATAAACTTTTTGCGTTCAGCGCGGGTTTCTTGGATCCGCGCTGGGCCCCCCCGGAGGCGCTTCTGGCGCGGCCCCTGGCGCGCTCCGCGCGCCAGATAGGGGGGTCCAGAGCAGATCCAAGAAATCAGCGCGGAGAGCAAACAGTTTATGTTTATGGCGTGTTTCTTGTTCTATTAAGTCTCGCAGTTTGGAGTTGTTGGAGTCGTACGTTTAGCTTCGTACCGCCTATCCTCTGCGATTCCATCGGAGTTCTGCTTCGTGGCTCTGCGTCGCAGCACCGCCGACTCTGACTATGTAGCATGCCGCTGCCTGTGCGAGACGCGGGTGCTAAGATTTGTGTCGCTGCCTGGCAGCGAGAGGCGATTGACCTTCCGAGAAACACGCGATCTGGGCCGCCCTCTCCCGCCGGCCCACCTCTTGTTCTCTTCCTTCTCTTGACCTCGTATATCTGTCCTTCCCCCTCGGCTCTCTACCCTGCCCTCGCCCAGCATACCCTCTCTGACTGCTTGCGGGTCTTGTCCGGTTTGCAGGTTGGTTTCTCTCTTTGCCCGATGCCCTTGGCGGGAGCCGCTTGTGTTGGGAACATGCCCAGTGCATATGCCTAGGCCTCACCCTCCACAGTCCAGCCCGTCTGAACATCACATCAAAAGCGAGAGCATCGGCGCAACCACGCCGGGCTCAAATGCAACTTGCATACAGGCGTAAATTTTGTGCATGTCGTGGGAGCAGCGTACGGTAAACAACACAAGCTTCTGCTAGGTGGGGGGGAGCACCGGTGTACCATATGTTTATACGGCATGCTAGCTTACGTTTGATCTGGACACAGGATGCAAACGCACGCCGCTATGGATGTGTTATGTGAACAGCCAATTTGGTTCAAGTGCAGCCAAGCGGCTCCCTGACCAGTACGCATTAGGTAGTTGCCTTCTCCGCTCCACGGGCTGCAATGGGCTCTGGCGCATCATCCGCGAAAGAGGCGAAGAAGGTCATCGCCGACACGAGTGTGGAGGACCTCTGCGCGGGTTTGGGAGAGCTGTCCGCTGAGGAGAAGGCGAAGCTCCTCGCCGCACTCCAGGGCGGCTCTGGAGGCGGCGCGGGCCTGGTCGACGTCTCCTCGCTCACGAAGATCGCCAAGGATGATCTCGGCCTCCTGCCGCAGCCCGCCGCTCCCAAGTTCAAGGGCGCGGTCATCCAGATCTACGTGCGGGACCAGCCCTACGGCGGCGCTGACAAGAGCTCCAACGGCCACCGCTACGACTCCGTTCCGTTTGCGAACGGCATGATCATGGCTGGCATGAGTTGCCAGCTGATCCACTACGTTCACGAGGAGCACGACAAGTTCTTCGAGGTCGCCGCCAAGTTTGACTTCCTCATCGTCCGCTGCAACCCGGGCCAGATCAAGGCCGACGGCGGTGACCAGCAGAAGTTCGATGACGCTATTATGGGTTTGCGCGCGAAGGGCATCCAGGCTTGGCCCTCGCCGACCGTGATGGAGAAGATGGGCGCCAAGGATGCCCTCTGCAAGATCGCCAAGCTCAACATCGGCCTCGAGGACACTCTGGCGTACTACGACGAGGAATCGTTTGCTGCGGGCTTCAAGAAGACCATGGCCTTCCAGCCACGCGTGATCAAGCAGAACCGCGGCTCCGCGGGCGAGGGCATCTGGATCATCAAGCTGAAAGATGGCAACTACTGCTCATCTTTCGGAGAGCGCAGCTGCGAGGATGGCGAGCTGCTGGACATGATGGAGGCCAACGACAACCATTCGGAGGAGCATACCGTGGGGGAGTTCATCGAGTTCTGTGTCAATGGCCGTACCGACAAGTCCGGCACGTGGACGTCCAAGGGTGTGGGCAAGTATTTGGAGGGTGGCAAGGAGGCTGGAGGCCAGCTTGTGGACCAGCGCTTCTGCCCCCGCATCGTGGAGGGCGAGCTGCGCTACAACTGCATCGGAGGAGTCCTCGTCGGCATCATCCACAAGAAGCCCAAGGAGGGAGGAATCTCCGCCGTCGGCGGCACGGGCTCCATCTACACCTACTACGGCCCCGACGAGGCCAAGTTCGCGAACCTCACCAAGAAGTTCCTGACGGACGACCTGCCGCTGGTCATGCCCGCGCTGGGCCTCGCAGAGGAGCCCATCCCGCTCTGGTGGACCACTGACTTCATTCTCGCCTCGCCCGAGGGCACGCCCGCGGAGGAGGAGAAGTGGATCGTGGGCGAGTTCAACTGCTCGTGCGTCGGCATCTCCAAGTGCCTCGCGGCGTACTGCAAGGACGACACCCCGGAGGCCAAGTTCACCGACATCACGGATGAGGACATGGAGGCCGTGAACGATTACGCGAAGAAGCTGGGCGAGGTTGCCCTGAGCATTATGGAAAAGGCGAAGGCTTAGTGGGGCCAGGCGATCCAGGTATATGCGCAAAGCATTGCTCGTGCGTGTGCTTCATTTGACCTCGTGGGTGTGGCGCGGCCGGTTTAGCCGGGCACAAACGGGCTCACCGAGTGTGTTCGGCACTCGCTCGAGAGATCTGCGCTGCAGCTCTGCGGACGTTTGCCGCATGGAAGCCGCGCGCTTGAGGTTGGCCTTTCGGGCTCGAGGTATCCACGTTTCGAGACCAGTTTTGTCGAACAGGCGGCGCAGTCGCTTTCATTTTGGACTTGCGGCCATCCCTGTCCAACTGGGGGTCGCCGGTGGTAGAGATCTTCAAGCAACGAAACTCGGACAGGGACTTCTAGGCCCTGGTGGGCGGAGTCTGATTCGGACTCCGGAAGCCACAGTCTGAGTTTGGAGTTGCTGGAGTCGTTTTTTCGCTTAGTATCGCCCATCCTCTGCGACCCATCGGAGATGGGCGCGGCTGGGTCCTGCTTCGCGGCACCGCCGACTCTGATTAGCATGCCCTTGCCTGTGCAAGACGCGTTATCAAGATCTGTTTCGCTGCCTGGCAGCGCGAGGTGTCTGACCCTCCGAGAAACACGTGATCTGGGCCGCCCTCTTCCGCCGGCCCACCTCTTGCTCTCTTCCTTCTCTTGACCTCGTATATCTGTCCTTTCCCCTCGGCTCTCTACCCTTCCCTTGCCCAGCATACCCTCTCTGATTGCTTGCGGGTCTTGTCCGGTTTGCAGGTTGGTTTCTTTCCTTGCCCGATGCCCCTGGCGGGAGCCGTCTCTGTTGGGAACATGCCCAGTGCATATGCCTAGGCCTCACCCTCCACAGTCGAGCCCGTCTGAACATCACATCCAAAGGGAGAGTATCGGCGCAACCATGCTCGGCTCACAGAGCAAGTTTCTGTTCCAGGGAAGCACTTTGGTACCTTATGTGTGTGTTAATGCGGCATACTAACTCACAGTTGGTTTATACACAGTCTGCACGCGCACATCTCTATGGATGCGCCATGTGAACAGCCCCGTTGGTTCAAGTGCAGCCAAGCGACTCCCTGACCAGTTTCACTAGGCAGGTCGAATGTCTGGGGTCTGGAGCGTGCGAAGCTCGGAGGAACTATGGTTAATTACCCCCCTGTTCTGAGGTGCTCCAGTTTGATATTGTAGAAACAATTCCCCGAACAGGTTTTGCACTTCTGAGAAACAGGGCTCGTTTGTCGGCTGCGCCGCCTTCTTGCCGCCGTCGCCGCCTCTTCGCCGACCGTCGTCTGGGCTCGTTTGTCGGGTCCGCCGCCTTGTTGCCGCCGTCGCCGCCTCGTCGCCGTCAACCGTCTGGGCTCTTTTGTCGGGTCCGCCGTGTTGCCGTCGTCGCCGCCCCGTCGCCGCCTCGTCTGGGTCCGTCGTCTGGGCTCGCTTGTCGGATCCGCCGCCTTGTTGCCGCCGTCGC